CAAAAATATTGAAAATGTTGTGATGAACTTTGATCAAATTCTTTTTTTTTTAAGAAACGTTGCCCCACAATTCCATTCAACAAGAAAATAGCTAAATAAAAGATAATAATAGAAAGCGATAACTGGAATTTTAAATTTCAAAAGAAAATGTAATTGACCTATCAAAAATTTATTTTAGAAATCCTAAAAATCATACAAACTCTTCCAACCTTTAACCAATAGAAAAATAAAACTGAATCTACAAAAAAAAAAAACCTATACTCTCTCGATTTCCAGAAAATACAAATAAATACTGGTACTTCAGATGAATAACAGAAATTATCTATGAACATAATGTATATATAGGCAATAGTAACTGTATAGTTAAACTGTCAAACACCAAGCGGTCACCGGTGACCGCAACCTATTGTTCTATAATTGTGTCTACAAAACCGGTACTCGACGAGTTAATGCACTGGGCATGGGCAACCGACTTTGCAAATGGTGCTAAACATATTGTCGTTGGTTTCATTTCCACTCTCCGCATCCAGCAACTATAATCAGATTAACAACTATTCAATATAATGATTATCTCAAGCAATATTATATGTATTAAACTTTAAGGGAATATAAGCATATATAGTTATATGCTTCGGCACGAATGGGCCGGCTCGACCGGTGTGATACAACGGTCTCACAGAAAACTGACGTAAAACAATGCTTGCATTGTGCTTCGCCGTATGAGTAAAGTTACCTGAGACCCCATTTCTTCCCCCGTCTTCCCCAATCTTTCTAATCCCTGAATTCCCAAAATTCCTCAAATTCCTAATTCTCAAAAGGCCGGTTACGCACTTGTAACGCCTCTGATATTGCGGGTGTCCACGTGCAGCACCGATTGCTTACCATCAGGTGATCCTTCTGTTCGTTTACCGGCTTATCCCATAACAAAAAGATCAATATTATATATATATATTATAATTTACCTTTAAATAAGGAAGCGAAGATGTTGTTGTTTATATACATATACGTACCTACCTAAACTTATCTCCAACAATTATTCACAAACTCCTGAAACCTTCAGGCTGAACTATAAAGGCTGTTTATAAATCAACGAGCCACTAAAGGATGTTCTAATGTGGACATTACATTTGCATAAGTACTAGTATATACTCGGACCTACACGTCAAACTATACATATCCAGTTTATCTTGCACTCGCTTTATATGATCGTGTCGAGTATTGGGCGGTCAGTTCGTACCGGTTATGCATAGCTTGGTATGTAATGTGTACTTATGTTGTTTATTGTTGGAAACTTGTTTATGGACCTACCTGAGAGGCTCGTGGAAACGAATTAGTAAACAGAAGTAATGGTAATAATATGTATTGCGGGTAGAGGTGAGGTAAAGGATTATTTTGGTTATAAAACGGGGTCAACTTGGACTCGTTGGCAAAAAAAATATATTGTATAAGCTTTATACTATAACATTTAAGTTGAAACGAGAGAAGCTGCCAAGCAATGACCTTCAGATCCAATTACCGGATCGAGCAAAATATTTCTGTCGATTTTGAAGTACCTAGTAGCACGGATTCCGGAATGATGCGAAATTTGCGACAAGAGGCTCACCTCCTACCGCTTAATTTGTGAAACTCATAGCATAACGTAAGTTTAAGTGTAGGAGAGCCATGCTTCGGAATGAATGGGCCGGCTCGACCAAAGCGATACCACAGCCTCACAGAAAACTGACGTAAAATAATGCTAGCATTGTATTTCACCGTATCAGTGAGGTTTCCTGAGACCCATTATTCCCTCCCCCTTTGTCGGCTAAAGTCGGCTTCACTCAAAATGTTTGCACCTCTGCCTTATCTTACGTTACCTTATTAAACTGTCAAACACCGCGAGGACACCGGTGTCCGCACACCTATTGTTATTTAATTATGTCTATAATGACGGTACTCAAAGGGTTCATTTACAATTCTAAAACTCCATTGAAAAAAAACAATAAAAACGTATTACAACAACCACCTCAGAACATCCTATTACACAAACTGACAAGGAAACGGATCGCACATTGCAGTAGGCAATCTCATTTGTTAGATAAAAGGGATTATTTAACCCACTAGTTTTGGTATCAGCTGATATTAATTATAATTGCTGAACAATGATCTCTAGCTGTGTATTAGACGCGTGTTACATAAATGCAAATCACTTGTAGTTACTCGTACGATTAGAAAATGAGGGGTGGAATTATTATACCAATTCTAGTTAAGGTTTAGTTTCATTGTGATACAAAACAGATTTAAATTATTATTATTTTGTATCAGAGAGTAACCGATTCACGTGTTGGTAAACCATCAGCATCGCAAAAGGCAGGCAGCCTTTTAAAAAGAAATAGGTATGCTCTTTTCTTCTCGGTTTGAATATCGTATCGCTTCAGAAATATTACCAATGGTAGCATCACCATTGTAAGTCGGGTATTTTAAAGATATGGTTGTTATGGAACTACTTTTTAGTCGTTGGAGGTGATTCTGTCTCTGCAATCACATTCTCGCTGGTAATTGCCAAATTCCAGACATAATCTAGACTTTAAGTGAGAAATTCAATAATGTTGTTTTTTTGTTCTGAAATTTATAATGTGTTTTATAGTTAATTAATATGTTGTATGTAGAATGTGCTTCTTTATTATTCATCTATAGAGAGTAAGATCGCCATCGTTACTGAATACCTACTTCACGTATATCTCGTTTCCCAGTACAAAGACAACGTTGGCTTGGAGCCAACACATAATTTAATAATGGCAATTAATTAATAACGCGTAATTAACAACGCAAGCAACGTAATCGAGATCTATTTGCAAGAAAATAACTTTTCCTTATGTTTGAGAAAGAAATAAAACTCTTATTTCCCTTTTTTCTCTCTCATTTCGTAAGATAAGATTTATTTTATGAATTAATTTTATTTTGAACGTCAACAAAGCTACAAAGATACACCTAATAGTACAAGTTAGGGATTAGTTTAGGCGCCGCGTCATGCTAAGTAACTTTTAGTTAGGAAATGGTTCAATGGTAGTTTGTGAAAACGGTCATAAGTATGCTTTTGCTTATTATTGACTAGAGTTTAACAATTAACTAAAAATCGGAGGTTACTTACGTGAATATACTGAGAAAAGCACTACTAGTTTCGAACCACCAGAGGGGTTCTTCCTCTTGAGCAGCGTCGCGGCGATGTCGTAGACAGTTGGCTGCGCTACTGTAGCCTACTGTAGTCAGTAGTATGTCTCACTATAGTAATAATAAAAAGTTTAACAATTTATCGGCCTCAGTACGTCCATCCAAAACACCTATAACGAAAAACGCAAAAAGCCTTTGAAACACGATCACTCATTCATAACTAAAACCATTTTGAAATACGACTGTAAATAGGCTCATTTTCGCGTAGACTCGGATATTGGGTGCCGAGGGAACGCTCTCAAAGTCAATAAATAAAATATCTTCTCCTTTTTTATATATTTCGGGAAAATTGAGGAGTGACTGAATGATGCCTGAGTGGTTTGGGCGTTGTGTAGTCAGTTGTCACCTTCCATCTCTCTCTTTTATACACGAACAGATTGTTCTACAAAGGCAGTTTTGAAACTTGAATTCGGTTTTTGCAAACAGTTTTAGTTTCCAAAAGGTTTTGTGTAGTTTTTGAGTGTTTTCGGAATTCACTGTCTCTGTGAACGTGGATTTGGATTAAAACTAGAGTTGGCTTCTTTGTAGGAAAATTTTTCGGCAGTTTTGAGTTACTTGTGTTTCTATTTTTTGGTCATAAAAGGTGGAAGGATAAATGATTTGGTGGTGTTCCATAAAAAGCCAAAAAAAAATATAAACTAAAAAAATATTTGAGTCAGTAGAAACCTATACCTAATCCTAAAGAATTTAACTTCAAAGACATTTGTTTTTGTGGGCTTCGTCAATTCGGAGATTTTATGATACTTAACACTCCATTGATCTAGCTATAAAACATAACACGTACAACTTACGTCAAATTCCAAACACTACAGATTTCACACTCAAACTATAAATAAACTCATAACACTCCCCTAACAATACACAACACTGAAACCACACCTTAAATTGGTTCGCTCTAAAATTTAGTCAAGCATAAACATCCTTTAACTCTGTCGCTAATCCTGATATAGTGTAATTAGGAGACCCCTAACCCGGGAGATCCAAGTGGTTTCCCTTGTATGCCTAATGAGGTTCGGACGTCCCGGATATATCTACCCGGGTGACTTAGATCGGATAAGGCCTTTTTTGATACCCTATTCATAGTTCAAGTAGGTCCTAATGTAATTAAAACAAAGTTAGGACGTTGATAAAGCTGAAACAGATAGGATCTGTTCAACTTTGAAGCCTTTCCAGTGGACGCCATCTTGTGGGGCGGGTTGATAGAAAATGAGGACTAATTTTATTATGATAATTTTATTAGCAAATATTTTGTTCACTGTTTTATATTTTTAATATTTCTTTTTTATAAAATATCATTGTTATTCTTTATATTTCGTTTTCATTTACTGCGATATCAACGAGATACTTTGAATAAGATCAAATCATGTTTCTGCTTTGTTATTATGTACTTAGGGTTTAAATGAAACAAATCAAAATTTGACGATCAATAGATTTATTTTCTTAAATAACTTCTTATATCATACTGTATTTACACAACCGTATTACATTGATAGACTATAAAAAAAATCAATATTCATAAAACTTATTCTAACCTTAAACTAAGTCATCGATGCAAATGACTTCAAACTTACTCTTAGTCGTTATAATAACTTTATAACTAATATTTTCATACCTTTTCAAAGTATTAATTTATTTATAAATATCCATTTTTCATTAAATTTTAACATAGGTACTAATCTAGTAGTTATATCAAGTATTTGAACATATTAATAACAACAAAATAATAATTCTGGTTCCATATAACTACATTATTATATATATTATGAATATGTATTTACAAAAGGTATTTTAATATTAATTAGTCTGATGCATTATTTCTCTTTGATTCGAGTGAAATTTCAATCAATCAAATTAAATCTTGAATACGTACAAAAGTCGATGTAATTGAATTATATGGTATCAAATTATGCGAAAAGCACTCACTTAAATTTCTTATTCTCTTAGTAATATCTGTAAAAGATTATGATATTACGTTTGTAATGTAATTACTATTTGATTTATTCCAAAATCGTGGAGTTTGATGATGCTATCACAAAAGTAATGGCTGTCAGCATTCTTCATCGAACAATGGTTTTTATGATAACAGCTATACGTCTTAAAATCATAATTACTAGTTTCAATAAAAATGGATCTATTTGATAGACAAAAGTACCTAGTTGCTTATTAAATAAAAATAATGCATCAAACGTTAGTTTACAATAACTACATTAATATGGACTTACATCGTTTACTTCGTAACAATTTATATTTACATCGGACTTGCAAAGCAAGTCAAACAAATCATGGCAGAATTATAATACATTCAATGTCGTAGTTGATTGAACAAGCAAATTCATATTGTTTGCCTGACATCGCAATCATTTTCTTGAAGACGCAATCATTTTCACACATTCTCAGAGATATTGTGAAATAGTTGCAAAATGTCTATGAATATTTGTCAGACCGAGGTAAAGTCCTTGGGGGACGCCTGTAGGTCAAATCAAACTATGACCTTCGCATATACAAAATTGAGTTAGATGTGTTATCCAACGAGTTACATTGCCTAGACTATGTCTGAATTTGTAACTTAAGTATGCAGATTATATACACACGCTGTAAACTTGAGAATCTAAGTTCAGTTCACAGACTCAAAAGCCAACTTAAAATTAATCAACATGAACAATCTATTAGTACTTGGTTCACGTCAAGGGTTGTTTAACAAATAATTTATTACAAGCCTGTTTCACCCTTCAGTGATAAATTAAGATGTACGCTTTGAAGTAACTTGTCTCGAAAACGACGTGTCTTCGAGTGAAACTCTTGAATAAATAATTTCTCTGCGACAATTTTCAAGTTGAATTGCTTTTACATACTTTTTCTTTGTAACGTCCATTACATGTACTTTGAGATGGTTGGTTAGGTTGCTTATGCATGACAAGGCGTGTTTTAGAAGTTTACTATAATCTTACTAAAGTTTAGATGGCATGCTCATACCTTTATCGTTTAGAAAACCACTCACGTTGACAATGAAACAATAGTCTGTCATATTGAACGCGATTTTTTTTTCTATAATTCAATATAGGATATCTATATTATTGTAGATCATAAAGACATTCTTTTCCCATAAAAATAATACACCAAAGTTAGTTAATGGTGATTAAAAATGGTAGTTTCAGGGTCATGTCCAGGCCATTAATATGATGTTGTAATAGATAGTTATAAAACGAAATATATGTTTGTTGCTTGAGCCGTGAGGGAAAGTAATAAAACTTTGATATGACAAAACTTTAAACGGCCAGCTAAACTAATAAAAAAAGAAGTTAACAAAACGCTGGAAACTTATAAAAGTAGTGAGTCAGTTAAATATTAAAAAGTTTTTGTTGGTATGAGCAAAGAAGAATAAGTTTCCACCGCATTTAGTAACAGCGAGAAGTCTATTTCTGGTTAATTTTAAAGATAAAACGTTGTGGGAAATTTTGTTTCTTTGTTCGAACAAAGTAAGATAGTATTTGTCGATTTAATAAATACTCGTTACCAAGATCTAATTCTGATATTTTGTAAGACACTAGAAACTATACAAATTCTGAGGTAACCTAGCTTGATGTGATATTTATGCCTGGAGGTCTGCAGATATCCTTATGCAAAATACAATAAAACACAAAATAATAAAGAAAACCTTTTTTATCATAAGCAAAAGAAATCGCTGTAGGTAATGTAACGAAAGACAAATAAAAAATCTAACCAATGATTCCAATTCCGTAAACACAATCTCTGGTGTAACATAATAACGAAAAATGTATACAAAAACATAATTGTTATAACGTATTTATGTTTTTCCAAACATGCCGAAGATAGGTGCTTTCCAAAAATAAACTAGCAGGAGGGGAGAGAGGCAGAATATGTTCACGCCCTCGTGAATATTATAGAGTTTACGCCAATTTCGTCAGTTTAATCACCGAGCCTAAATTTAGAAAATCGGGATCTCTCTTTGATATTTAATTTAAGAGGAAATCAATTTTATGTTCGTTTTTAGTACTTTCTTACAACTTCTGTTAATTGGTTTATGACGTTTTTAATGGTTTTGGTACTTTAAAAACATTATGCCTATTTCCTACAGAGTTTGCATACAAAACAATAATTGTACTCTCTCAAATGAAAAGTGCTATATCGGAAATTTTTCTCTTAAATCTGCTCAGTTGGTGCGGTGTTTGCACGGAACAACTATTTGTGTGAACTATAGATTTTTGTTCCGGATCAGGAAAATTGTAAGTAAACGTAAAATTCCTAGTAAGGGCAACGTCTTAAAAAAAGAGATCTAAAATGTGATGTATTATTTTAGATTTCTTTTCGTTTTTTTTACAAACACGGCTAAGTTATTAAAGAGTATTGTCTGTTACCATAATCAAATTAATAAGGAAATGTAAATAATACCAAACACCAAACCGTACACGTGTACTCTCCCAATAATTACAACGAGCGATACGAAAATAATATCCTTACTATCGTCAAAATCGTGTACGAAAACATGCCTAAATAAGGGTCATTATTCCGCCTCGCAATTATAACATGCTTCATAATTTCTGTGTGGCAGAATGACAAATTTGGCAAATTACATGTCCTACTTGATAAACCACTGACAAAAACACACCTCATTTCAGCTAATTAATACAGAATATAAATGAACACACATTCATTATATTTGGTCGCCATAGTTTTGATGGTAAAATATTTGATGAGATGGTAGCATGTCATTGCTTACATCATGTAGTGTAATTAGATTAAGTTACTTTTAATGGGAATCTTGATTTTCCTACCTATTATTCTCGATCTGATAAGTACATTTTAGAACATTCTTTTGGGTGTCTCCTTCTTATTCACCGGTTTAGTTAAATTTAAGTGACTCTTAAAATGGAAACCAATTCAAACCCTGGCATCACTCGAAAAATGTGTAATGTCGTACCTAAATTTTGCAACCCCACGTAACAACATTTTATTTGAAGTTACCCTTTATTCTCACTTCTAAGCCGCAAAATTCGCGACCCTCAAATATGACCGACCACTAATACACAGTTCATTGAACTAGCAAAAAGAAAATTACCTCTCATGTTATATGTATTTGCGTTTGACGTTTTTAACGTGGGTAACATCGTCAATTGATTATTTATGAAACAAGCTCGTTCGGCGAGCCTGACAAGAATACATAGAGATTATTGGAAGAATTCGGAAACCTATGAAAATTTAATCATTGTGATGTACCGTTACGAAATCGGGTTCTCCGTTAGATTCTGTTATTTATTGAATGTGGACCTCCGGCTGATTACTTCTGCGATTCGGTTTTCAGGTATTAATATGGATTACAAAATCTACCTGTGATTCACGATCTTTTCGCTCCATAGCATCTAGTCTATATTTCACTACCATGTTTCTTCTTTGTGGCCAATAAAACCCCTATTTTAATATAACAACTTCCAGACCCATTCATATTTATTATTGTTTTATAGTTGTTACGCAGTCAGAAGCTCTCACTCGTGAGTCCTTCACTAAATCTTTAGCGTAGAAAGTCGAAAACGTAAATAGAACCGTAAAACAATAATAAATAAAGTTCGTTTTTATTTTCTCATATAAGTTTAGGAATGGCTGGAAAAAGTTACGCACTTACACTGCCTGTGATATAAAACTTCCAAGACTAGATAAGTAACAATTGGCTAGTAAGTTTTTACATAATACTAATTTACTTTGAGAAATTACAGGTGATGACGATATTGTTACAATCAATAATATCATACATAATTATGCGATACGACAAACGTCATGACTAGAAGTAATGATTTTACAAAATGTTCAATTTACCTAAGTGTCTCGAATTCGAAGACGACTAAAGGACTTAAGATGAACTTTGTCAAGTTCCAAAAGTAGAAAGAAAAGGGAATGCCAATTCATATGAATATATTATGTCATAAACCAAATGAATGGTATGTAGCTAATTGTAATTTTAGTACTTTCACCGTTTACTATAATTAGTTATAACAATGAATTTGTTATCATTAACACCACAAAACGAATTCACTACAAAAATTACATGGTCAGTATGAATTGAAACTCCTTTTGCTTTCAAGTTTTAGTAAAAATGATCCATATTACGCTTACTCAAGGTATATAATACAAAACTGTCGAGCTGTTGATACTAGCAGCCCATAAGAGTCACGATGACGCTGAGGAGGGCAGCTGACAGAGGGTACTGGAGACGAAGCTGGCCACCATGCTGCATGGCAGCTGGGTGCTCACCTTGAGAAAAAAAATATTAGTGAGCATTTGGATTCTTCAAAAGCAGTTGAAGAATTTTAGAAGTTCAGAATGTTCAAGGCCATTCGCAGGTTCAAATACTTTTATTTTCTTCTAGATAGGGCCAGTGACGTTTTTCTGGACTAATGCACTTCTGTCTAAAGAAGATTAAGGCTTCCTTGTAAAATAAGTTTTTTCCTGTTAACTTAATTTCACAAAACAGAAAATTATTCTTATGACAAGAGCATTAGGGATCTAAATTAATCTACTTACCGCTCAGAACATGGACGAGTACAGATCTCGGATTAGCATTAGCAGGGGCGCAGGTGTACCTGCCAGAGTCAGGGGCTTTGGCCCTTTGTACCAGAAGGTGCGACGTGGTCGTCTCCCCTTTCTCAGTGATGACTGAGACCCCTCCACGGGGTGAGTCGTAGTTGATCTCCTGTGGACAAATAAAAATGATTTTAATGTGAAGTATGAAGATGACTTGTTGGTTATTTCTTTTTAAAATTAAGATTTAAGACTGTTACTGCCAAAAACAAAAAGTCTGAAATAAACAAAGGACTCATTGACTATTTCTAAAATCTTTATCTCTTCAACTTCTCATCATACATCTTCTAAGTGGTTTTTGTTTTTTACCTTCTCAATAAGACAATCAATATAAAATCAAGTTAGTTAGGAGAAGATGACAAACAATTTTTAGGCTGAAAGAAATGCTGTACTCTATAGTATTTATGACGTAATTCTTTTTTATTTTCGTCTGATACTGTCTTCCTCTATGACCTAATTCTACGTTTTACACACCGCATATAAATGGTACAAAAAATGTATTTCGTTTTATATTTGATCACAAAACGAAAAGTCATACACGAAAACTCGAGCTATCTCGTAAGTATTTTAACCGTTCCAATTCACCCATCAAAACGTGCCTGAAATTCACTGAAATAATTTTTGGAAGTTAGTCGTGAAAATAAAAAATAACCTGAAAGCGAGAGTTCAAATTTCACAATGCTTGGAATTTTAGAAATAGAACAACTAGGATTAAAATGGCTTCACAGTAAAATGAAATACGAAAAAATGCTTCAGTTACGTGTATGATTTTTTCAAGAATGTTCCTTCCTTTTTAGTACCTTTTTATAGTGTGCACTTTATAGTTAATCTTCCTAGAAGGTAGTTGGGTAATCGATTCATATATTTCGTAGAAAATTACTCTTTACTTTCATTCGATATTTTTTAATTTTAGTTCTTTTATAAACCACGTAAAAACCGACTCTAATCCTAAGATTAGATAGGTTTAGGTTTAAGGGTTAGCCCTTCGGGAATAAAAGGCGTGATATCATTGATATATGAATCATAAAATTATGGACTTCATAAAAGCATCGTCTATTAACTAGTCGAGTACCGGTTTTGTAGACACAATTATAGAACAATAGGTTGCGGTCACCGGTGACCGCTTGGTGTTTGACAGTTTAAACTGAAACCTGTGCATTAATGGTCGTTTAAAAACACGTGTACTATTTTATTAGGTGTTGCAATTCAGGTTACGATAACTAGATGTTAGACATAAAAAAATTAGCAGCTATGTATAAGTTTTAGTCCCACGTAATTAGAAAAATCCTGTTGTTAAACTCCGCACAATAACAGACGTCTTTCTAAGTATATCTGATTACCAAATCAAAATTAAGGACCGAAATCTAATATTTAAGCAATATTGACTAAAGTAACAGCAGTTTACGCAATCCAGTGGTCAAATCCGACTTTTCGTGTTCTACAGCTATTCTGACAAACAACTAATGAGGTCGCTGCGATGGTATACTATTCTATATCTACATTAAAACATTGGGTAAAACTGTAGCGTTGCACCGTTGCACGTTGCAATGGCTTCGGCAAATTGGAACTCATTTAGAGCAAGTGCTCTGCGTTTGACATCAATGCTGTAGTTTTCGTTTGCAACGTTATTGCAAAACAATAAGGTTGAAATTGTTTTAAAGAAATGTTACAACTAAGGGTAGTTTGATGAGCTGGCGTCTGTGTTCGAACAATTCTTTTGAAATAAGAAATGGAGTAACTAGCTCCCATTGTTACATATTATTCTTTATTTGTAAAACTGATGTATCTTTTGTTATGAATTATTGGAATTTAAACTGTATTGTATGTGTTATTTAGGTCTACCATAAAACTTGTTATTCTGCGGAGTAGATGCAAAATACAACTGGCAAAAACAGAATAAAACTAGGCCAGGCGAAAACCATAACAGACTAAAGGTGTTTTGGTCTAAAAAACTGACATAACTCCCAGTATTACCAATGGCCAATTCTATATACAGTTTCAAAACAACATGGGAATATAGTCGAGGTTGAAACTAATCAATCTACATAACATTTGTTTTATAAAGTACCAGTAATAAGGTACATCACCTTTCTTCACAATGTATTCACATGTCTACCAGTCTCTTATAAAATAACAAGCCTCTTTACTATCAAGAATATTATACAATAAATAATTTAATCCCAATGAAATCATATAAATAAATAATCTACCCCCAACGTAGTTACCTAACTACTAATCGCATTATTATTCAAAATAATTCAATTACACTAATTAATGTTTCTTCTCAGTATAATATTATAATCTCCATCAACTCTTAGAAATCACTTATTTAATTAATCAAATTAATTTCCACGTCACAATCAGTGCTCGTTTACGGCTCTTTAAATTTTGGACGATAGCCAAATGAATAAGTTTGTAGTTTCATGGGATGTTATAATAATATTTTATTTATTACAGTTCAGATTACTTTTGGTTATGAAAAAGACATTATTCTTTTATATTTATGAAGTATCAAGAATGGAAGAGCCATGCTTCGGCACTAATAGGCCGGCTCGATCGGAGTGATACCACGGCCTCTCCGAAAACCGACGTGTGTTTCGTCGTGTGAGTGAGTTTACTGGATGTCAATTACCTCTACCCGCTCCCTAATTTCGAACCATCAAAAATTGTCGAATTCCTAATCCCCAAAGGGCCGGTAACGCACTTGTAACGCCTCTGGTATTCCGGGTGTCCATGGTTGACGCCGATTGCTTACCATCAGGTGATCCGTGTGCTCGTTTACCGGCTTATCCCATAAAAAACCAAATTCAGATACTAACTTCTACTGTATGGTATGTTCTTAAATACAAATTTTGCTTTGGCTCAGCTATGGAAGCTGAAAATGATGTTTTTTTTTTAATATAATACAAAGAAACAATGCTGATGAACTCAATCAACATCGTGTTCTAAATAAACGTTGGGAAGGAAAAAAAAATCAAAATTGATTAATTTTTATAATAACTATTGTGAGACATGCAGAATTTACTAAAATAACGGCTGTGTGATCCGAAACTAGTAGACCTTTGTTCAATAAATTTACTTGAGCAAACCGTCATTTTTTATTTAAAATTGATTTCTACAAAATCATTGTAAAATTGTATACAAACCTAACATAGGCATATAGAAGGACTTTAAAATAAATTCTTATTTAACTCGTCGAGTACCGGTTTTGTAGACACAATTATAGAACAATAGGTTGCGGTCACCGGTGACCGCTTGGTGTTTGACAGTTTAAACCTATCTGAACACCGTGTAGTGGAGTTACAGTACACAGATACCGGACAGCTCTTTGATAAACTTGAACAATTTATAATCTTATAGGCTTGCATAATAGAAACTAGTCGAGTTTTCTCGTCAAATTACTACGTAAGTAAGCCGAAAACATAATAATTTGTTTAAGAAATTTATAAATGAATGAACAATGTAACTCGTCGAGTACCGGTTTTGTAGACACAATTATAGAACAATAGGTTGCGGTCACCGGTGACCGCTTGGTGTTTGACAGTTTAAATGACTAGTTCATAAGACAGTCCTGGAACTCTTACCGCTAATTACATAATTTTCTTAAGCATCTTCTTAAGATAAATATTGTTGTGACGTCACGAGACTCGGTCTCAAAAGGAAAGCTAGTAATAAAATATTCAGAGGTAAGCGTAGATGCTAACTAGTAGTATAAATAGGGCAGTGAGTTTGTATGTTACAGCATTGAACAAAACCATTGATGGACATTTGTAAAGAGAATTGAATAGATACAAACTTTTAGTAATCTGCAGCTGTAGTCAAATGCCATTTTGTCTACATGTAGAATAGAAAACCAAATTATATGGAATTGACGTAAATTTTGACACTTGTCAGTGTCATCCCCATACATTTAGTTTTCTACTCTCTCTGTAGACAAGCGCTAAAGTGGCATTTGGATAAAGGCACTTTAGAAAATAATTCTGATTTATTTGTAGTCAAAAAGAGAAGATACTATTTGTCTTTGCTCAACAGTGGATACGTATGTATAATGGGCTGATGATGATAATGATAATAATTTTCGAGTAAAGACAAAGGATTAAACCTACCTTTTTAAATGTCTAAAAGCTGAACTATCTAGTTTTAATGAAATGAACATTGACATAGATATTAACTGTGGATTGGTAATGGAAACTTTTTACTCGATTGTAGGAAGGTGGTTGTTAATGCTAGTGTTTAAGTTCTATAAATATTAGAGTACTGTGTTGGTTTCATATCACTATTTGCTTGTATATAGAAATTTAAATCTGAAAAAAAAATACAAAGATTGCCTCGTTGACCCAGTGTTCGCAAGTACGACTGCCGGGTAAGAGGTCTCGGGTTCAATTCTCGAGTCGGGCAAATGATTACTGGGTTTTAAGAAAAAATCTCAGTCGTAGCACGGAGTCTAGAATTGTGCCCGGTATGTGTAATAGAGTTTAGTAGACTAGAGAGGTTACATGAGAGTCATAACATACATAGTGAAAAGTGGGTGTTACAATGTACAGTGGCATTAAGTGCCGCAATGTAGACCTCTGTTTACCCCTTCGACGATAAAAAGCATATGTTATGTAAAACTTACAAATATTTTAACGGGAAAAACGACTGATGCAAGGTGAAATTGCGAGCACTGTTTAAAATTGAAATAATATCACAGACAAAGGCAGGGGAAAGACAAGTATAACAAATCCCTGTAAATGGGTTGAAATGTTTTGCAAATGTACTGTGAAACCAGATGTTGTCTAAATAGATTGTTTAAACATTTTATAAACGGTAGGTACGACTTAATCCGTTTTTGCTCATCACGTATTTTGACTTTGTAAACTGTTTGTGTTTACCAAGTAATTTACGTCTGACTGTCTCGTTAGTCTAGTGGCTAGAAAGTACGAAGGTCTGTGTTCGATCTTCATGCTGTATTTTTTTTAAGGGTGGAAAATCAATCAAAGCGCCCATATTAGTTAACTTAATGTGAATTTAATTACCAGGAACAAGTTTTAGTATTTGATCTCTGAATAAGTAAAGTTTATGGGGTTTCTAAGTTCTGGGAATAAGGAATTTTGATATTTCTAAGGGTGG